AAGTAAAAAGTGGGCATGGTCTGTTTCATATAAATAGTGATTACTAAACTTAGAAGTGGAAGTCAACACACATGCTGATGTGTTTACACGTTTCAATTTTTTCCCCACCCATTTTCTATTATTATTACTTATTTGTAACATGGTAGCTCCCAGGACCCCTACAGACCAAGAAGACAATCCCCATCCCAAAAAAATTATAGTCTAAGTACCTAGAATCACAGAACCACAGGATAGAAGGCACTGTAAGCAATGTTCCTGTAATATTTTCCCCCCCGGGTGGATTTTTCCATTTGCATGTGGAATAATTTTTTAATGTGCACCAAGGCATGCATGAATGTGCACCACCAAGTAGAAACAAAAACTAGCTGTAAGCACTCTGATAATCAGCTGGGCGGCATCTGACTCTCTCCTTAGTGGCTACACAAGCACACAACTTACAGGGGACAGAGACTGCAAGAGTCATCTAGTGTCTAACACCCTTATTGTACACCACTTCTGCACCTCACCTGGAGTCTTCATGCCTGTACAGGCGAAAACAAAATGGCACCAGACTTTAAAGATATTTAGGCACCCACCTGTACTGTTAGGTACCTAACTTGTCATGGGAGATAGGTACGTTTATCTCATTAGGTGCCTCTGTATCTAAATACCCTGACAACTCGGATCCCACGAGATTATTCATGATGCCAGCCTCCAGTCCAACTCTACCTGATTCTGAGCTCATTTATATCACAGAAAAGCCTGTGTAACTCCAACAAAGTCAATAGAAGTATGCTGGATTTGCTCTGATGTAACTGAGGGGTTTGTCTACCTGTGGAGTAATGTAGGAACAGCTGTTGCAGCCTGCTTCCACCTGTAGAGAAGAACCTAAGAACATAATAGTGATAGAGATGCAACCGTGTTAGTCTGGTCTAAGCTCTGTCTTTTGTTTCAGCTAAGAACATAATGGAACTCAAAGGTGATATGTTCCTGTGTCCACAAGGGGGCAGCCTTGCCACACAGTCATTGTAATATTAAAAACCTTACAAAACAAGGAACAGCCCACAAAAGCTCAGGCTCCCATGGACGTGTTTTGTTAGTCTTTAAAGTGCTACCAGACTATTTGTTGTTTTTTAAGTTTATCCTGTACAGACTAACTCGGCTACCCCTCTGACGCGTAAAAAACAAGGAATAGTCTTGCAGCACCTTAGAGACTAACAAAACATGTAGCTGGTATTGTAATACTAAAACGTGAGAACGCAGAAGTATTTCTTTCTCGTTAATATTGTATAATTTTTTTTCAAAGCAACCTGCAACTTTCAAGACGTGCAGAAATGCAAACCGTTAGTTACTATAAAAACAACAGAGAGAAGACGAGAGAGGGAGGGAGGTAAAGATATTGGGTCAACTTCTATCTGCAAAAAGTCTCAGAGGAGTCGCCCTGCTAGTCTATAACTTTAAAAACAACGAGCAGTCCTTTGGCACCTTAGAGACTAACTAAAGTATGAACTGGAATAGAAATAACAGAAACCAGGTATTATATAACAGAGAAGACAGGGAGAGGGGGAAAGTACCTGCCGATTGCTGGACTGGTACTAATGAGGCTAATTAATTAAGTGGGCTGGAAATGTCCCATCCTTAGCTTTGGATGTAAATATACAGTGGTAAAGACAAGGAAGACTGGCTCCCCACCCCCTTCTTCTCTGTTATAAAGTACCTGGTTTCTCTTCTTTCTACTTCAGCTCATCATCTGATGAAGTGGGTTTTGCCCACAAAAGCTCATGCTACTGTATACTTTGGTTAGTCTCTAACGGCAATGTCTACACTAGGAAATTATTTTGAAATAACTTATTTCAAAATAACTCTTGAAATAACTATGTGGAAATACACTTATTCCCCAAGGAGGCAGGAGTTATTATTGGAGTTACTATTTCGAAATAACCAACTCCTTATTTTGAAATAACGGGCTTGGTAGGGTAGTTGCTCTGCTTCTGATTTCGAAATAAGATGAGTTATTTCAAAATACCCCCCTAGTGTAGACATGCCCTAAAATGCCACAGGACTGCTTGTTGTTTCTTTTGGCGAGAGAGAGAAGTTTTCGAGCTTTGCAGACCTGAGGAAGAGCTTGGTAGAGCTCAGTTTTTTCTCTCTCTCTCTGCTCTTCCCTCCCAACGGCAGTTCGTCCCATCAACGATATTACCTCCCACTCACGCACAGCCTATCTCTCTAGTATCCTGGGACTGACATGGCTACAAGGACACTGCATATAAAAACAAGTGCACTTATGAAAAACTTAAAAACAACAAAGAGTCTTTCAGCACCTTAGGGTACATCTACACTGCACGGCTATTTCAAAATAAACTATTCCAGAATATTTATTCCGAAATAGATTATTTCAAAATAGCACATCTGCACTGCAGGGAAGCCTCAAAACTAGTCCGAAGCAGGCTTCCATAATGTAGACATGCTATCTCGATTTACAGCCCCAGGAGGAATAACTTAGAATGGCCCTAGTGAGGGGCTATTTCAAAATAGCAGCAGTGCAGCGTCTAAACGCGCCTTATTTCAAAATAGCTATTTCAGAACTCTTCAGAGGGGTAGCCGAGTTAGTCTGTAACAGATAGATGGTATTATCAGATGAAGAAGTGGGTTGTGCCCACGAAAGCTCATGATACCATCTACATGTTTTGTTAGTCTATAAAGTGCTACCGGACCATCTTTTTTTTTTTCTTGTTTCAGAATAGGCGTTATTCCTCGTAAAATGAGGTGTACAGATTTCGGAATAAGTCTGTTATTTTGAAACTATTTCAAAATAATGGAATGGCTGTATAGACGCTCACATTGTTATTTCAAAATAAAGCTAGTTATCTCAAAGTAACGGTGCAGTATAGACGCACCCTTAGAGACTAACAAAACATGTAGATGGTATCATGAGCTTTCGTGGGCACAACCCACTTCTTCAGATGAGTGGAGTTTAAGGGGTCCAGTTTTCTAATAAATAGCACAGAGAAGGGATGGAGGAGCGGATGAGGAAGAAAGAAGAAAAAAAGGGGAGAGAAATCTCAGTTAGTGTCTTTGCTAAATGAAGCTGATAAGAATACTTAGTACCCACTTTAAGTACCCTTTGTTTGGTTTTTGATATCACTAGGATGTGGAATGTAGCAGGCCATGCAGCCAATGTCTTTGTTTAGACTTCTATTGTAGGAATCAAATTTGTAAATGAAATTAAGTTCTGTAGCTTCCCTGTCAAGCTGGCTTTTGAAATTGGTTAGAAATAATACGGTGACTTTCAGATCCATTAAGGAGTGGCCGGGCAAGTTAAAAAGTTCCCCAATAGGTTTCTGTGTGTTTCCTTTTCAGATATCTGATTTGTGTCCATTAATTCTTTCTCGTAGAGACTGTGCAGTTTGGCCAGTATCCATGGCAGAGGGGCATGGCTGGCACTTGATGGCACAGACCACATTGGTGGATGTGCAGCTGTACAAGCCTCTGATGTGTTGGTTTATGTGGTTAGCTCCTGTGATGACGTCGTTTGTGTAGATGCGTGGATAGGTTGGGCACCGGGGCTGATTGCTGGGGTGGGTTCCTGGGTGATTACGATGGAGGTGTGCTGCGTGGTTACTGGAAAGAATTTGTTTGAAGTTCAGGGGTTGTCTGTGGGTGAGGATTGGCCTTTTCCCCCAACATCTGAGAGAGTGAAGGGTCGTTTTCCAGGATAGGTTGTAGATGGCTGTGGAGAGGTTTAAGTTGGGGGCTGTAGGTGATGACAAGTGATGTTCTGTTGTTTTCTCTTCTTGGCCTCTCTTGACGTAGCTGATGTCTGGGCACTCCTCTGGCTCTGTTAATCTGTTTTTTCACTTCTCCGGGTAGGTATTTCAGTTTTAAGAACGCTCTACATAGATCCTGTAGGTGTTTGTCTCTGTCTGTGGGATTGGAGCACATTTATGGTTCTGGATTAGGTGCGTTGGCAATCTCAGAAATACCAGGCTTCATTTTCTTTCCCTCCCCAGCTCAGTACTGCTGCAAATCTAGCCTGGGGACACTGAGGCACAGATCAGTTTGGAGTAACCTGTTTATTTCCATCTTATGAAGCAGGCTTTACACGTCTTTTATTTGGCACCTTTATTTGCATTCATGTAGGAAGGGCAACTCTGTCCGCTCCGATCTACATGTCGGCTACTAACATCCAAGCCCCGGGACCAGAGGCCTGTAATAGGGATGGAACAAGGGCATTGATTGGTAGCCAGCACACAGCAAGAAATGCAGAGCCCCTTTCTGCTCCCACACCAGTGCAATGCCATAGATTTCAGTGGGGTTAGTCACGATCTACCCCCACACGACATAGGTCAAAATCAGGCTGGTTTCCTCATGGTACCATTAGTTTATCAAAATCAGTCTGTTAGCCGTCAAAGCCAGCTCACGTACCTGAGCTATATTCTGCTATGCTCACCAGTGAGTGCGTTTGCAGTCTGTTACTCAGGACCAGCTCCTCACTTGGCCAACTGAGAATCTGGCCCATGAAACGTAATTACGGGCACAGCAGTGTTGCCTGTTAGGTGTGCACTTACGTGGCCACTCACGAGAGATTCGGATACCGCCCGGCTGATTAGCAGAGCTCCCACAATGTCCACAACTAGGTTTTTGTCTCTACTGGTGGTGCACATTCACACGTGCCTCTGTGCACTGAGAAAAAATTATTCCACACATGGATGGAACCATTCTGCACATGGTTGGAAAAGATTAGAGGGAACATTGGAGCACAGGAACTGTTAGTTTGTTGCCTGGTCCCTGATTGCTTAGTGTTGGATTCATCTGCCTTCCCAGTGGGTTTTAGTTAAGCTTGATGTCGGGCTAAGTGAAGTGCAGTCTCAGAACAAAACGTGCTGATTCAGTGTGGAAAAGCAGTTGAGGCCGTTAATTGAATTTAGGGAGTTTACTCGAGTCTTTTCCAAAGTGTTACATGTTATGGCCAGCACTCGGCTTTTAGGTTTTATACTTACATCTTTTTATATTTAAAACAGGTTCGTGCTTACGTCGGAGCGTTTGCTGCTGACTTTAATGAAAATGCCGACCTTACAGCCCTGAGGTTTTTATCGGTGAACTCCATTGTGGACCCCTGGATTTTCATCATTTTCAGGACTTCAGGTTTTCGCAAGGTCCTTCATAGGGTCTGCAGAAGACTGAACTCTAAAAAAGCCGCACCGCCTCAGCTTCTCTGAACTAGCCACCGAAGCGGCAGCGGTGACGAATGTGGTTGCTTCCTTTCGTAACGTGAACGGGAAGACTCTTGATCCAGTAATTGTTTACAGAGTCCAGTGGATCTCAGGAACGATGCCAGATGTGGTGATTGTGACATGTGGATCATCTCTAAACACTGTAAAATAATATAGCACTGTGTTCCAGGGCAGGTAGAGTGCCTTAGTTGTTCTGCTGTGTGTGTGTGTGCGCACTACAGAGGGGGACATGGTCCTCCGTTATTGCGTGTTTGCCTTTCTAGTCGCAGACTGGAAGTGAAAGTGTGTGGCTCAGGCAAATAACCGTGACTCTTACGAAGCGACCATGCGCTGCTTTCCAGAGAACTCGGATGACAGGACAAATCATGTGTTTGCGGGATAAAGCGCTGCCCTCTGCTTCTCGGGCCCGATTCACCGCTCCTCTCCGAGCAAGGCCCCGATCTCTGCATGGGCGAGCCCTGATGCCTTTGGGATTTCTCATTGATTTCAACAGGCTGCAGGCAGGCAGATACATCTGCCCACTCGGGGATGTGAAAGGCTAGCCGGTTATCTGGTTAGTGGGCAAACATCACCCTAAACGGTTAACCCTACCAATTCTGGTTAACCGGTAACCAGTGGGGGCTGGAGGAGCTCCCCGCCCTGCTTGCCATGGGTAGGGGGCTGCTCTCAGCTGCAGCAGCCTCTGTCCATGGGGAGCCTGGGTGCTTGCAGGCAGGGGTGGGCACCAGGAAGCAGTGGCAGCCACAGCCCCTACATGAGGGATACGAGCCAGCCCCAGCGTGGGGGTCAGAAGCTGGATGCAGCCCCAGCTGGGAGCTGGGGGCCAGTCACAACACTGGGCTGGGGGTGAGAGCCTCATGGGCTGGGGGTTCACCGGTGAAGCGTTAGATCCACCTGACGTTTAACTGACCAACTGGGAATTTACATCCCTGCTCCCCGCAGGGATCGGCTTAGAGGCTCCAGGCCAAAATCAGGACTCACCCAGGTCTGTCAGGGAGAAATAAAGCTCTTTGTTCTGAAATGAAACACAAGCCGCCTCCAGTCATTTGTCTTGTGGCTT